CAGAATTCCTCAGCCAGCAAACATGGTCCCTTTAAGACTTGCATTTTGCATTTTAACTTTCGTCTGGAATTTTGTGTGTGTGTGTGTGTGTACTGGGAATTGAAGCCCACAAGTCTATTTTTAAACAAGAGTTGGAAGGGACTTTGTAGGTCATCTAGCCCAACCCCCCCCCCCCCCAAATATTGGAAGACTGCTCTCCTGCCTCCCCTAGTCCTTTTGTTCATTAAAATCAGATGAAAGTCAGATTAACAGAGTTGGAAGGGATCTTGTAGGTCATCTAGTCCAACCCTCCACCCTCAAATATTGCAAAACTGCTCTCTTGCCTCACCTGGTCCTTCTCTTCCCTAGACTGACTACCCAGGCCCAGTTCCTGCAACCGTTCTTCGTATGTTTTATCCTCCAGTCCCCTCATCATCCTGGTTGCTCTTCTCTGCACTCTTTCTAGAGTCTCAACATCTTTTTTGTAATGTGGTGAACAAAACTGGATGAAGGTGTGGTAAGGTGTGGCCTTACTAAGGCTTTACAGAGTGGTAGTAGCACCTCCCTTGATCTGGGTTGTATCCCTCTGTTAACGCAATTTAGGATTGCATTGGCTTTTTTGGCTGCTGCTGCACACAGCTGGCTCCTGTTTAGCTGGTTGTCCACTAAGACTCCAAGATCTCTTATTACAGTGACTGCTATTGAGCCTGGTTTCTCCTATAGGTCTACATGTGGACTTTGGGTTTTTCTTGTCTAAGTACACATATAGACTGGGTGAGAAACACGGACTTAAGGGCTGTGGGAGGTAAAGGATGGCTTTTAAAACGGTTGTTTGGGATGGCCCAATTCCTACCCTGCAGCATTGTTGTGCAATAAAACACATAATCCCTGATTTTCAATTATTTTTTCCCACCTGGTCCTGTGTGGACAATCTCATGTTGTCCTTGTTCTCCTAACCAATGCACACACACACATGCACACACACACACAATCTGGAACAGCATATTATTAAAAACATTGCATTTTGCCCTGAAGCCTCCTTGTGCAACCATTTCCTGTGGAGGATGGGCCCTGTAGTACAACAAAACGGTTGTGCCGCTGCCAAGATGGAGGACTCCTGGTTTTGGAGGCCGAATGATGCCGGCTTGGGTGTAAGGGCTGCAGCCTTAAAACGAGCACCGTCCGTCGCATCGGCATGGGGTGTGGCTCCTCTCCTCCTCCTCCTCCTCCCCCCCCCTTTTCACCTCCCTCTCTGGGCGTGAAATTTTTACCCAGATGCAGCAGAAATTAATATTTCATTCAGAAAGTGTTGAATAATGAATGGCCTGGGCCTCATAATCTCCAGCAAAAGAGCCCCGGGACAGAGGAGGTATGATGAATTTTGGAAGGCTGTGCAAATGTTGAGCCCAAGCAAGAAAGAAAGAGAGAGAGAGAGAGAGAAACAGAGAAAGAAATAGAGAAAGAAAAAAAGAGAAAGAAAGAAAGAAAGAAAGTAGAAAGAGAAAGAGAGAGAGAGAGAAAGAGAGAGAGAAAGAAAGAGAAAGAAAGGAAAAGAAAAAAGAGAAAAAAGAAAGAAGGAAAGAAAGAGAAAGAAAAAGAAAAAGAAAAAGAAGGAAAGAAAAAGAAAGAGAAAAAGAAAGAAAGAGAAAAAGAGAAAGAAAAGAGAAAAAGGGAAAGAAAGATAGGAAGAGGAGAAGAAAGAAAAAGGAGAAGAAAAGATATGAAAAGATGCTTTCCCATTGATTGCTGCTCCTTTAGTTTAAAATGAGACGTGAAAGCCATTTCCGCCATTTTTTAAGACTTATGGGACTTCAACTCCCAGAATGCCCCAAGCCAGGTATAACAATTAAAATGGGAAATGGACATTGCTGGCTTGGGACGCATTCTGGGAATTGAAGTCCACAAGTCTTTAAAAGGGGCCACGTTTGCTGACGACTCCTCTGTGTTTTTCTCAACCGTGGCCCCCTATAAGATGGGTGGACTTCAACTCCCAGAATGCCCCAGCCAGCACATCAGTTTGCCACTTATGTTGCCTTGTCATCTTAGCCCACCTTTAACTCTTTGATTAATTCAGCTTACCATGGCTTTTTTTCTTCTTCACTTTGCTGAAATCAAGGTAGATTACATCGACCCCATTCCCACCATCTATTTCAAGAAGTTACTCTATGAAAAAATGAAATGGTGATCAATGCAGCGTAGCCATATTTCTTCTTGTCCTGCCCATTGCTAAATTCTGCTGGCTAGGGAATTCTGGGAGTTGGCGTCCACAAGTTTGGGACAGCCTTGCTCTAATCAGTGTTTCTCAACCTTGGCACCCTCTAAAGGCGGGTGGACTTCAACTCCCAGAATTCCCCAGCTAGCAGACCAGCGTCCCACTTAATTTTCATTTCATTTAGCCCACCTTTGACCTGTTTATTAATGTAGTTTTTCATCGGTTACTTTTCCACTTTGCTGAAATCAAGGTATATTATTCCCACCATCTATTTATTTTAAAAAAATGCAATATAGGCCCGGGATGGCGAACCTACAGCACGTGAGCCCCAGGCAAACTTACCTCACTGCGCATGCGCACACCTCCCAGCTGATTTTCGGGCCCTTTTTCAGCTTCCCAGAGGCTCGAGGGAAGCCTCTGCAGCCTTTGGAGGCTGAAAAACAGGCCTGTTTCATTATTTTGTGTATTTCCGAAAATAGTGATGAAACTGGCCCTTTTTTCGGCCACCAAAGGCTGCAGAGGCTTCCCTTGAGCCTCTGGGAGGCCGAAAAAGGGCAGAAAATCAGCTGGGAGGCACGCGCATGCGCAGTGCGGGTAAGGGGGTGACGGGATCGCGTGTGCATGCGCAGGGGGCGTGGAGGCCCCCTCCCACGTGCATTGGCTTCTGGGTGCTGGCGAGTGAGTGCGCATGCAATTTTCGGCACAGGAGCCCAAAATGGTTAGCCACCACTGATATAGGTAGTTGAGCCATATTTCTTCTTGTCCTGCCCATTGCTAAATTCTGGTAAACCCTTGCTGGCTGGGGAATTCTGGGAGTTGGGTAAACGGGGTGGGAATTTGACTGGTTCGGACTGGTTCTATAGAACCGGTTGTTACGATTCTGCGCAGTTCGGAGAATCTGCAAATCATGGCCCTGGCTGGCCTCGCCCTTCTCCGCCCTCCCCTCCCCACCCAGTGAGTCTTTATCGCACATGCGCAACTTTGTGTGCATGCCTGACATCGCTGTGTTCTCCCCTGCCCAGTCACTCATTATGGTATTTCTTTTTTTTCCCCTCCTCCTGACAATCAGCTGTTCAGACGATCAACTGTGCCCAGGAGGAAGGAAGGAAGGAACTAGAGGAGGAGGAAGGAAGGAGAGGAGGAGAAAGGAAGGAGAGGAGGAAGGAAGGAGAGAACGATCAGCTGTTCCGACGATCAGCTGTGCGGGATCCCCCTGGCCGCCTTACTGCTTCGCCCAGGAGGCTTCCCTGAGGCCCAGGAGGCCCCCAAAAATGGGGGGGAGGGTTGTGCTGTGAAGAAGAAGCCACGCCCACCCAGTCACATGACCATGCCCACCTAGCCACACCCCCAGAGCTGGTGGCTAAAAAAAGTTGAACCCCACCCCTGGTGGCACCATCGTACCCCAATCCTTCCCAGTTTTCTGATTTCTTCCTTTTCCTTGCAACAGGGTTCATGAGCACCGCCGACCAGTCGGCCAAGGGGAACTACGGCCTCCTCGACCAGATCCAGGCCTTGAGGTGGCTGAACGAGAACATTGGTCATTTCGGGGGCGACCCGGAGCGCATCACCATCTTTGGATCTGGCGCTGGGGCCTCCTGCATCAACCTGCTCATCCTCTCCCATCACTCGGAAGGTAGGGCTGCACCGGCCATGGATGGGGGGATGGTGGTGGTGTTGTCCTGGTAGCGTCCGGTGCCAAAAAAAAAAAAAAAAATCAGGAACTGGGGTTCTTCAAATTAGTCCTTTGACTTAGAACCATGATGGGGGTCCGTTGTTAAGCGAGACAATGGCTAAATTGAGTTTGGCCCCATTTTACGACCTCTCTTGTTCTGACCTCAGTTTATCCAGAAAAGCCCCGGCAAGCAGTCTTTCAAGGGTGAATTACAACCACAGACCTTTATCAGGGGCCATTCAGCGTTCACCTGTGACTTTACTCCTGAGTCGACCCTTGTTCCTTAACTGTTCCCTTCTCCTGGCAGCTCTGCGCATGCATACATCAGGAACAGGCTCCAGCTGTTCTTCTTCCCCACTGATCTCCAACTCTGAAGGCAGCTGATAACTGTCGGACGTCCCTGGCCCCATCTCTGCCTCTTGTTCCTCAGCTGTTCCTTTCTTCTGGCAGCTCTGTGTATGCGCATACTGGGAACAGGCTCCAGCTGTTCTTCCCCACTGATCTCTGAGTCCAAAGGCAGCTGATAACTGTCAGACAGCTCTGGCCCCATCTCTGCCTCTGACACAGAGCCCTCGTCGGAGCCTTCCCCAGACTCTGGGACTGGCCCATGTTCCTCCCATCAAGGCAAATTAGCGGCAGGTAAGAGTTAACACAATTCAAGGAGGCCTGGCCTTAGCTTGTTGTGGGTGCAAAGAGACTCCAAACGTTTTCACATTGCTGAAATCCAAGTTATATTACGTCAACTACATTCCTACCATCTATTAAAAAAAATACCCCATCAAAAAATGTGATAAATGTAGTCTAGCCATATTTCCTCTTGTCCTACCTGCCCATGCTAACACTAACCCTAACCCCACCTGAATGGATCAGGTACAGCAGGGGTTGCCAACTTTTTGGACCTCAGGGACCACCAAACTCATAATTTTAAATCCCAGGGACCGCTAACTGGTTCTGTGGGTGGGGCCTAATTTGTGGGTGTGGTTTGGTGGTCATGTGACTGGCTGGGCATGGCTTGTATGTGAATATTATAAATATTTATATAAATACTGATTTTTTTATTTAAAAAAGAGCAACTTTTACCCAAAATCAGGCAAAGCAGGCAGGCAGATTGAGTTGCTCACAGATTCATTCACTAGTCTACCTATCTACCATCGGCTAGCTCAGTCTGTCACATAAAATTTGCTTGCGGTGATCTGCACTGAATAATAGCACCTTCAGTCCTAAGGGAGGTTCGGCTGTGCTTAAAAGCAGAGCCGAAGATCTAAAGACTAGCTAGAAAGCAAGAAATCCAACCATTTCCTGCTTCCTAGCTAATCTAAATCTCCTGGCACAGCAGAACAGCTGATAGCCGGAAAAAGGAAAAATAGCAATTTAGCAGGCAAGTTTTCTGGGTAAGGAGTGAGTGGGCGGGGAGGGTTCCTGCTGGCCATGTGTGGGCTGAGCAGCCTTGTGTTTCTGCGGAGCTTGGATTAATTGCTTTGGGGGGGATGCTCTGGGGGTGAGATTTCTCTGGCCCACCAAAATTTTCTCATGACCCACTGGTTGGCAACTGCCGAGGTACAGTGGTGGTATTCAGCTGGTTCACACCAGATTGGGCGAACCGGTAGCAAGGATTTGGCGTGGGTTACCGAACTGGTAGTAAGTTCCTGCTGGCCACGTCCCCCAATCTGGTCGCCTGGTCGCTGCTGGCTCGCTTGCCCCGCCCGCCCGATGCTCGCCCCTCCTGACAATCCACTTCCTTTTTTTCCCCCTCCCGACAATCAGCTGTTCATACGATCGGGCGTGGTGGTACGAGCCTGTAATCCAGCTACTCCGGAGGCTGAGGTTGGCGGATCACTTGAGCTCAGGAATTCTGGGCTGCAGTGGGCTATGCCGATCGGGTGTGCGCACTAACTTCGGCATCAATATGGTGATCCCCGGGGAGCCGAGGGCCACCAGGTTGCCTAAGGAGGGGTATCTTGTCCCAAGCAATATTTATCTTCCCAAAATACCTGGGATAAGGAGCTAAACACTACAAAGGCTTCCATACAAAGTTTATTTATTGGATTAGATCAAGCATCCTCAAGGTTAACTCACAGTTATGCTGAGATTCATCTAATGTCCAATCTTTGCATTGTTGTCTTCATAGTGTAAAAAGATAGTTATCTTCATCCCATAATGAAACAGCAAGGGAAGACTCCAGCACGTTGCTGGGTCCAGGTAAGAATGAACAAAACTCCCCCCACCCCAACCAGAGGTCAATTCAGTGACCAATCAGGAGTACAGATGTGACCATATGACATGAACTACATCTCCCATGAGGCATTCCCTTAAGGGGACAGCTCTCATTCCCAAACTAACTATATACTGTCTAACCAGCACAAGGGGTGAAACGCCCCCCGGTCGGAGACGGAGCAGGTCAGCTGTGCCGGGATTCCTCTTGCTGAGGCCCAGGAAGGCAAAAAATGGAGGGAGGGGCTCAGGGCCCCCTTCTCCATTTTTTGCCTTCCTGAGCCCCAGAGGAGCCTTCTGGGAGCAAACACCCCCCCTCCAGAGGTTCCTCTGCAAAAATGCAAAAAAAAGCTACGCCCACCCAGTCACATGGCCATGCCCACCAAGCCACGCTGTTAGTGTTTGGGGACAAACCCCCAAGCAGAGTGCACAGCAGCAGTCAAGCCAGGCAGCCAAATGAGAGAGAGGCTGGGCCCAAGAGTATACACACACTGGAGACAAAAACACTGTTTGTAGTTTTAAATAGTTTTTTAATTCATTCAGAGTTTAAGCAGTGTCATTCAGTCCATATGTCATTATCCAATATATCCATCCAGTAACCTAGTCCATTAACTAGTCAGTACAATGTCTTTATCTGCTTGTAAATCTTCTCCTTCCGATACCTTTCTCTCGAAGACAACGCTGAGTATGCACAGGATATCAGCTCACCATGTAAACAGTCCTTTTGTTCAGTAGAAAACGGTATCCAGCACAGTAGCCAACAAGCAGACGTCTCATACAGTAGTAAACAGCAGGCAGCAGAGATCAGAGAAACCAGGGACCAGGAAGGTTACGTTTCTCTCTACTGCCTTTTATTGCAGCTTGCAACCGCACCCTTAATTATCTAATTACATTGCAGTTTGGTGCTTAAAGGTACAAACACTTAAACCTAGGTTCATATATTTATTCACCCAAACCTAGTTGGTGTATCCATATACCCAACACACGCCCACAGAACCGGTAGTAAAAAAAAATTGGAATCCCACCACTGATCAGGTGGTTTGTAGGGACATTAACTGGGGGTCAATTCGTAAAACCTTCCTGTGCCTTTTTTTTCGAGTTGCCCTAAACAAAGGGAGAAGGGGGGGGCGGAATGTGTAGGAGCAGTATGGCCATTAAAACCAGAAGTACATTCCATGCTTCTCTTACAAAGATTGTAGCCCAGGTTACCAGATCTTCCGCCCCACAAAAATCCTTCGTTGGAGAATCTGATTGATGACACACCCCAGAGGGAGTGGGGGGGAACAGGGTCACAGGTAAATGACGTGTGAGAATAGGCTACATACGGGTCAATGCCAACCTGTTGCTCCTCATCAATCTTTTGGGTTCTTCTGAACCTTGGCTCGAAGCTCACAATTTAATTTGGGCGATCGGTGGAACCCTGACACAAGGTTTGTCCACCTTAAGATGAGAGGGAGGGATTTACAAAAAAAAATGAAAGTGAAAGGCATAAAAAGAGACAGATGATGCCTAATCCATCCATCCATTTACAGGTAAAACTTGATTTACAACATTTCCATTTAGTGACCGCTCAAAGTTACAACGGCTCTGAAAAAAAAGGCCTTAGGACCAGTTTTCACACTTAACGACCCCTGCTGCATCCCCGTAGTCAAGTCATCAAAATTCTGACTCCTATTTATGATGGGCGCTGTCTTCCGGGGGAGGGGGGTCACATCATCTTCTTTGGCGACCGTCCGACGAGGCAAGTCAATGGCCAGATTCAGGTCTCCAACGCCTCACTTAGCAGCTGGGACAAGAAAGGTCATAAAATGGGGCAAAACTCATTTTTAACACCTGTCTCGCTTTGTGACATAATTTTTTGGAGGGTGAGTCTACCTGTATTTATCACATTTAAGGACCGCCCACCTGTTGTGGTTCAACGGCAGCCAGTGCCGAGATAGCAGTGGAGCCAGACAGTGGGGAAGAACAGGGAGCAGTCCGGGAGTCTGGAGAGGACTCGGATGAGGGTCCTGCGTCCGATTCAGGGATGGGGCCAGGAGCCATCTGGGAGTGTGGTGCTGCCTCTGGAGCCTCCAGAGCCTGGCAGCAGCTAGGAAGAGGAGCCAGGGGAGCCTATTCCCAGGGCGCGTGTGAGAGCAGCTGAGACAAAAGGGGCAATTCGGGAGCAAGGCTGGGAGATGATTGCCTCTCTCCAAGGGATAAAAGTCAGGCCAAGGTGACAAAACCTTTGCAGGAAGCAACGTTCGGATTAAACCTTGAAGCTCTGTGTGGACTTTGTACTTCGGTTGGTTTTTTTTTTTTTACAGTTCATTTGGCACTTTAGTTGTTGGCAGCCATTCAGAGGAGAGAAAGGTGGGTGCTTATCTCAAGGAGCTCTTTGGGACTCATTACTGGCTGGGAATGCTCATAATTCCCAGCATTGCAATAAAACAAAGAGTTGTTTTAACTGAGCATGTGCTTAATTACGGTCTCAGGAACAGCCTTGGTCAGAACAACCATCTCCCTCACAGGGGGACTCTGAACATTGCTGTCCTTGACTTACGATGGCCATTTGTCTGAAATGACATAGGGACTCCTGATTGGGTGGGGGAGGTTTGACTGGAGGACCTCCGGGGTCCCTTCTATTATTCCGCTATTCTTTCTACAATCATGTGTATCCATCCCAACCATCGAGTCCAAAGAAAGTCCCAAATGGTATATAGGCTCTCTTGCCATGGGCAGGGGGCTGGACTAGAAGATCTCCAAGATGCCTTCCAGCCCTATTATTCCTTCCAACCCTATGTAAGAGCCGTGGTGGTGCAGTGGTTGGAGTATGGTATTGCAGGCTCTATACTCTGCCCACTGCCTGCGGTTTGATTCTGAGCGGCTCAAGGCGGAGTCAGCCTTCTGTCCTTCCTTCCAAGGTCAGCAAAATGAGGACCCAGATTGTTGGGGGGCAGGAGGCTGACTGTGTAAACTGCTCACAGACGGCTGGAGAGCACCGTGCAGAGCGGTATATAAGTCTTAAGTGCTGTTGCTTGGGAAGGAAGGAAGGAAGGAAGGAGAGAAAATGGGGAGAGAGGAAGGAAGGAGAGGGCTTAAAACACTGTGAATAGAATAGAATAGAATAGAATAGAATAGAATAGAATAGAATAGAATAGAATACTTTATTGGCCAAGTGTAATTGGACACACAAGTAATTTGTCTTGGTGTAAATACTCTCAGTATACATAAAGAAAAGGTACATTCATTAAGAATTAAGAATCATAACGTACAACACTTAATGATAGTCATAGGGTACAATCAACAATTAAATCATACTAGGAAACAGTCAATATAAATAGTACGGATACAAGCAACAAAGTTACAGTCCTACAATCACAAGTGGGAAGGGATGGGTGATAAGGAGTGATGAGATTAACAGTAATAGTAGAAGCGGTATATAAGTAAGTGCTATTGCGAAGGAAGGAACGAAGGAAGGAAGGAAAATGGGGAGGGAGGCAGGGAGGGAAGGAGGGAGGAAGGAAGGAACAAAAAAGAGCGCTTAAAATACTGTGAAGCGGTATATAAGTCTAAGTGCTGTTGCTTGGGAAGGAAGGAAGGAAGGAAGGAAGGAAGGAAGAGAAAATGGGGAGAGAAGGAAGGAAGGAGAAGGCTTAAAATACTGTGAAGCGGTATATAAGTAAGTGCTATTGCTTGTGAAGGAAGGAGAGAAAATGGGGAGGGAGGGAGGAGACAAAATGGGGAGGGAGGCAAGGAGGGAGGAAGGAAGGAAGAAAGGAGGGCTTAAAATACTGTGAAGGGGTATATAAGTCTAAGTTGTTGCTTGGGAAGGAAAGGGAGGGAGGGAGGAGAGAAAATAGGGAGGGAGAGAGGGGGAAGGAAAGGAAGGAGATGGCTGTGAAATAGTGTGAAGTCTAAGTGCTATTGCTTGTGAAGGATGGAAAGAAGGAAGGAAGGAGACAAAATGGGGAGGGAGGAAGGAAGGAAGGAAAGAAGAAGGAAGATGAGAAGGAAAGAAATGGAAATGAGGAGAAGGAAGGGAGGAAGCTGTAGGGGCACAGTGGTTAGAATACAGTATTGCAAGCCGACTCTGCCCACTGCCAGCAGTTCGGTCCTGACCAGCTCAGAGTTCACTCAGTCTCCCATCCTTCCTTCCGAGGTTGGTAAAACGAGGATTCAGATTGTCGGGGGAAAACACGCTGACTCCATAAACCACTCAGAGAGTGCTGTAAACCAGGGGTCGCCCACCTTTTGGACCTCAGGGACCACCCAACTCATCATGTGAAATCCCGCGGACCGGAGACCCTGGGAAAATCCCCCCAAAAAAGTCTGCAGAAAAATCCCCCACCCCGTTTTCCTACCGATCCATCATTCTTTATTTGGGATTGCAGGATACCATCTCCAGCTCCATTCTCAGTGGGAGAGAGAGAGAGGAGAGAGACTTTTGGCTGCTTGCAAGGAAAGCAGCAGAAGCTGCAGAAGTCTTTCTTTCTTTCCCCCAAACTCCGCCAGAAATGAGACATGAAGCGGTGTATAAACTCCATTGCTATTCTATGCTCTAACCTTCGAGCCCTGGTAACTGTTGTCCGTTTGGGCCCTTGATTGCTGACCCCTCTTCTCCTTCCCCGCCCCACAGGTTTATTCCAGAAAGCCATTGCTCAGAGCGGCACCGCCATCTCCAGTTGGTCCGTCAACTATCAGCCGCTCAAGTACACCCAGATGTTGGCCTCCAAGGTTGGCTGCGACCACCTGGACACTGGGAGTACGGTGGAATGCCTACGGCAGAAACCTTACCGAGAGCTGGTGGAACAGGACATCCAGCCTGCCCGCTACCACATCGCTTTCGGCCCCGTGGTGGATGGCGATGTGGTCCCCGATGACCCGGAGATCCTGATGCAGCAAGGCGAGTTCCTCAATTACGACATCCTGATCGGGGTCAACCAAGGGGAGGGCTTGAAGTTCGTGGAGGACTCCATGGAGAATGAGGATGGCATCTCGGCGAGCTACTTCGACTTCACCATCTCCAACTTTGTGGACAACCTGTACGGGTACCCGGAGGGCAAGGACATCTTGCGGGAGACCATCAAGTTCATGTACACTGACTGGGCCGATCGTGACAATGGCGAGATGCGCCGCAAGACTCTGCTGGCGCTTTTCACTGACCACCAGTGGGTGGCGCCTACCGTGGCCACCGCCAAGCTCCATGCCGAGTACCAGTCTCCCGTCTACTTCTACACCTTCTACCATCACTGCCAGACGGATACGCGGCCCGAGTGGGCTGATGCGGCCCACGGGGACGAGATCCCCTATGTTTTCGGTGTGCCCATGGTAGGGGCCATGGACCTCTTCCCTTGCAACTTCTCCAAGAACGACGTAATGTTGAGCGCTGTGGTTATGACCTACTGGACCAATTTTGCGAAGACAGGGTGAGCATGACACCGATGTTGTGGTGGTTGGGGTTGTGGTTGTTTCAGGAGATTCTCAAGTCCTCCAGGTCGTGGTTGTCCCCACGGTTTCCGTTCTCCTTCCCCTCTTTGGCTTTAATGGGAGAGTGGCAGGGAAGGGAAGGATTCAGATTCCTTGCTGGTAGCTGGTCATTTGCATCCTTTTTAGAGAGTCATTGAGGCCACTTGGAAATCCTAGAAGTTTCTTTCAGCTCTGACTGTGTGGCGGGGAAGTAAAGGATTCACATTCCTTGCAGGCAGCTGGTCATTTGCATCCTTTTTTAGAGAGTCATTGAGGACACTTGGAAATCTGAGAAGCTTCTTCAGCTCTGACTGGGTGGCGGGGAAGGGAAGGATTCAGATTCCTTGCAGGCAGCTGGTCATTTACATCCTTTTTTAGAGAGTCATTGAGGCCACTTGGAAATCCAAGAAGCTTCTTCAGCTCTGACTGGGTGGCGGGGAA